ACCGGCGCCGCGGACCCTGGGGGAGTCGGGCCCGGGGCGGGAGGGAGCGGAGCTGGGTGTGAGATGGGGCCCAGGGACGGGAAGGAGACCCTGGTCCTTGTGCCAGGGCGGCCTGAGAGCCCGGGAAAGGCGACCCGGGATCTCCCTTTCTGCGCAGAGCAGATGCGATCTGGGCTGTAGTTTTTCTATGACTTTACGGCGTGTGTAAATCTCATGGGAGGTTTTTATTTCTGTTAAATTCCTCGAACCGATTGAACTTCAAAGTACAATAGCTACACAGCATGCTAGTACAGCGTTAGTCTGACGTGGTTTTAATTGTAGCGAATCGCTTGGGTTTGACAGAGCGTTTTAAGGTACAGCTTTTCTGCCTAGGACGAGACAGTCCGGAGGCAGCAAAGCCTCATCCCTAACAGCAAACACAGATTTATTCCCTTTGATCCCTGCCATAGGACAGGATGTCCAGCTTTCTTCATTCCTGAACGATAATACATGGCTGGAGGGAGGGAAAAATATTCAAGGCAATAAATAGCCTAGCTTAGATGAGCGAAGCTTTAGTTACCAGAACCTATTTTTAGGTCATAAGTTGAATTTAAGTGGCTGTAATCTTTATACGGGGAATTGGCACAGGGTTTCTCCTGTTGTATTTTATTTATAGCTGTTTCTTCTCCTTTCCGGGGAAATAAGATTAGCCTCATTATTTCCATTATTATTATTCTGGCTGTCATTATTATTCAGTCTGTCCATCCATCCACCCATTTAGGTCTTGTCTGGAATTACCTAGGATTATCCTGCTAATGCATGTTGCCTTCACACAGAATATCATTTTTGTTGCTAAGAAACTGCTTTTGCATAACAGACAGCGTGGGCCTAATTTTCACTTCAGCAGCTGTTAAAGTCAACGGGAGCAGCAGGTGCTCAGCGCTCCTGAGAGCCAGAGCCAAAGTGTCCGTGGCAGAATTCCCACACAAGGTCTGACTCTGCGTGCGAGTGTGTCATCTACATGTGCGATGTGCTCGGGGACGCAGCGGCTTCGCGCTTGAAAAGAAAAGCAGCGAAGGTGTCTTGAGTGTCTCCAGTGTGTCCGTGCTGTGCGACTGCAGTTGCCTGCACGCCGGGACAGGAGGAGCGGCTCTGTGCCCTGGAACATTTGCTAGGTGGGAGTATTCCCATGTCCCCTCTGCACACAGATGTGCAAATACGCGCCTATGGTCACGAGCTAAAAATTGTGTTCTCCTAAGTAAGTAGCTGTCAGCAATGAGTTTGGGCACATGGGGTTCGTGTTAATATTAACGTGTCAGCCTTCACGGGCGTGTCTGTCTGCACCAGCTCCCTGTGTGCAGACATGTAACGGCTGAACGCGTGAGCGGGCTGTGTGCATGCGGGGCTGTGCACCTGTACGCGACTCTGTCCCCACTTGCCAACATCCCTGTGTGACATTCACAGCACTTAGGCTGTTTATGCTGCAGGTCAAGGCACAGACACGGTGACATTTCCTCTCCCTGCTGGCTTTTTCATGTTGCTATGGTGATCAGATGCACTCGCACTTTTATCTGAAGTATCTATTAACTAAAGCTTCCTATTAATTTCCCCTCCGTAGAATGCATACGGAATTCACCGGAATACCAGGTAGGCTTTTTAGGTCCCCAAATTACATCAGAGCCTGCCCCCAGTTCTTGGGTGGGCTGCCAGAAACATCACGGGGTAGAAGTGCAGCTGATGAAAATGTTTTTTCCATGAATAAAGAAATCAGTAATGAGAAAGAGAATAGAGAGCACAAGGAGTAGTGTCACAACAGCCTCTCCCTGTAGATCCGTGAATATGAAACGTACTCGAGCCTCAATACTTCGCCCCCGACCCAGCTGTAAAGGGATTATTTGGTCTGGGAAGTCAGAGGCAGCCGAACGTGGGGGTGGCCACGCTGCTCGCCTGGAGCAGATGGGCTGTAACTGCATCAGCCTGAAAGGTCTGGGGCAGGGTTTTGACTCTGCGAGGGGCAGAAACCAGAGGCACCCTGGTTCGTCCTGATCAAATTCCTGTGTCACCTTGGTTCTGCGTCCTTTGGCTTCTCTTATCGAGGTCACCGCTGAAAGAATTGGTGTCCCAAACCAGGGCACCAGGGTGACGGAGACATCACCCGAAGGTGGAGAGTCTCCTGAACCAGACTGGCGTCAGAGGTGCAGCTCCTACTTCCATTGACACGGCACTCAGGAATAAAAGATCTGCCAGCGTGTAACACCCCATCTAAAAGCGTGGCCGAGTGGTGCAGTGCTGCGATGGGCGACTGCACACAGGGGTGCTTCCCGTGTCCTCCTGCAGAGCTTGAGCTGCTGCTGCTTATCGGAGAAGCTGCCAGGAAACCTTCCTATGCAAGTGACAGCTACCAGTAACGGAGGGAGGATCTGAACACCTGGGATAGAAACGAAGGGCTCAAAACTATCACGTCCCTCATCTACAGAATACGTCCTCCACAAGGCCCTGGAGACTCCTGTGAAGGTTTTGCAGGGTAATGCAGATAAAGCCCCAGCCAGTATTCTGAGAATATAGAGGGAAATTAAATACCCACCAGAGGAAGAGAAGATAAAAAATGAGACGTTTTGACAGGACTGCCAGATTGTGTGGCAGGAGGGTTAATTTTTTTTGAAACTGCCATTTCATATTCCCTTTCAGACAAGCTGAATTACACAGTACTGGCTGCTGGAGGAGTTGCATAATTTTCTTCACAGAAATAATGACAGGGTACTTAAAAAGCAAGTGAATGGATGGCTAAAGTATTGGGCAGAGACTTAAGAAATGTAGGCTGAGACCCCACCTTTGCTAGAGACTCCTTTTGTGACCTTGGGCTGGTCATTTAATCTTCCTATGTCTTATTTCCCTGCCAATAACATGGGAATAATAACTGTTCTTTATCTGTCTTGCTTATTTAGACTGCAAACTCAGAATTTACAGGTTGCATCTTCTGGGCTTATAGGGCAACCAAAGGCAAAGAGCTTCAATTCATTCTAAGGAGTCTGAGACAACCATAATATACGAAGTAGATAACAATAAAAGGGCTTGGATATATAGTTTGGAACATTTTTAGCAGGAAAGGCTCAAAAGTTCCTAATCCATTGTTCCACACCTCTTCCCTCAAAATGTGGAGAAGTTTGGATCTGTGCTAAGAGTTCCAAAAGCATATAAATAATTTAGGAACTAAGTCCATGCTGATTTACTGAATCCCCGAGTTACTTCTGAAACTGTGAGCGGATAATTTAGATGCCTGCAAAATTTTCTGCAAAGTCTTTGTGCTCAGTCTGCCACTGCATTAAGGTTTAGCAGCAGACTGAGTCAAGATCCTAATTTTTTCAAACTTTAAATTTAGGTTTGCAGGCAGCTGTGTACCAAGTCTTTATCAATCTCTTCAGCTTTTAGGGGTTTGTCTGATTTCCAGAAGTCAGAGGAAGATGGCTTCTTGCCACTAGGTCCAGTGAAGACAAGATCTTCTATATAGTTAAGCAACTACATGAGAAATTTGCTGTACAAAGGGAACAATTCTAAAAATAGGGAGAAATGGCACCATGACATTATCAGGAACAATGACCCAATACCCAACTTGCTGCAGGGGCTTTTGTCCTATAACTACCTTCATCATTAAGGCTTGTGATGACATTATTTTCTGTGCTTATATAGGGCATGAGGCCACAGCTACCTGGAAGGAAGGATTTTGATCAGACTGCAGAAGATGAACAAGCAGGAGAGACATGTTGGGTAACACTAAATCAATGTAGTTTCATTTACATTAGACACCAGCCTGGCAATTTCAACATTAATGGTTGCACTGCTGCCCTCTGAATTTTTCTAGATTTAATATATCAGTGGGGAAGTAAAAGAGAGGGGGGGTCGTTCTTGCTTATGATACATGGATCTTTTCTTTCATGCATCATCAAAGGACAGTGATTTGTACAGTTGTTAAACTCTTTTGGCAATACATTTCCTGGGATAAGCATTGCTCCGCTCCTGCCCCACAGATTATCTGAGATGATAATAGCAATAGTATCTTTGGATCCCCCCCTTTCCCAAATGGAAAGGACAACAGACTGGCTCTGAGGCAAATGGCAAGGTAGCAGGAGCATCAAATTTAGACCTAAGCCTTAGGCTCAGTTTGCTTTTGCGGAGCCACCAATTCCCTTTGTGTGTTTTGGGCAGTTACCACCTCTATCCCCTGCCACAGTTCTGCTGTGTAACGTGCACCTACCTCGCAGGAGTCGTGATGGAATAAAGTGCTCAAATACAAAAGCGATGAGGGACATACAGGCTTCTAGACAGACGGAGAATTGTTAGCCATCTTCCTAACAGGCAGGAATCGCTACCTCCTTTTAGAGAGGCACCAAATGAGGCAGAGACTGGCGTAAGAAGTTGCAACAGGTCAATAGACACGTAGGAAATAGAACCTGTTCAATACCAGCTGCAAACAAAGAAGTATTAGGACCCACTAAGAACCTGGATGTTATTGACTGGCTTCAAGGACTGTAGAGTATGTTTGTAAACTACAAAGCACAGAGATTTGGAGGTCAGTGAACTGTCTTCACCTTGTAGACATCTGCTGTAATATGCTCTGGTGCTCTGCTGCACCAGCTCTACAGATAACTGACCAAGTAGGGTTCTGTTTTCAACCTAAGTGACCTAGTTGAAGGTCAAGCCAAAAGGACTTAAGTTCCTAAATCACATGTGCCATAATAACAATGTGTGCAATGCTGAGCATATCCTGTTTAGGTTAAAAAAAAAAAAGAAAGAAAATGCTCAACAGCACCAACAACCCAAATTATTAAAGACATTTCAGTACTTACTTTTACCACTGGCCTCAGCAGGATTCAGGAGTTTCATTTTCACACCTGAATACCTTTGAGAATAGAGGCTCTGGGTGGTATTGAAAATTTGCTCTTTTCATTTTTTAAAGCCCTGTTGGAAGCAAAGGGCTAGACTTTCAAAACAATCCCCTCCGGGCACCAAGGTACAAGCAGGGTCTCTGAGTGCCCAGCAGACCTCCGTGCTCTCAGCAGCTGGTGGTTGAGTCCTAACTCTGCCACAGATTTGTTGTGGGGTCTTTGAGCGAGACACTTAACTTTTCTCCGTCCACAATATGAAGATAACGATAGTTGATTTCTATGTGAAATCACTTTGAAGTGAAAGCGGCTGAGTGCCGTGGTTAGGGAGGGCTGCTCAGGGCTGCAGGATGAGCCCCACAGCTTGGTTCTTCACGGACGCTTCTGTTGCTTCACTCAGAGCCCAAATTTGGTTCACTTCAAGGGGATGGGAAAGGAGGAGCAGAATAAGTCACGATACGACCTCCAGCTTACCAAAGCACTTAAATACATACTGAGCTTTCAGGTCCGGAGCGGCTGTATTGCAGACAGGGCTCTCCGTGGGCAGCTGCCCTGTGGCCCAGCCCGTCCCCCGCCAGCGAGGGTGCAGGTCTGCGCTGTATGGCAGGCTATGATTTGTTGTCACCTCTAGAAATCAGAACAACAAAATCACTAGTCTTCCACACAGAGCCAGACCACCGAGAGCAGCACTTCCTCCTTAGGGACATCCTCCTGCACGTCTTCTTCTGTTGTCCTTCCTCAGTTGTTCTCATTCTTCCCACGCTTGTTTCTCATTTCAGGGATGGATGCTGCCCTTTGCAGTGCAAAAAAAAAACCAAAAAACTGTTCTTTGTGAGACCATGTCAAATCTCACTATAATCGTCTGTCCAATCTGGGGACTGTACCTGTGAGTTTCTGCTCCATTTTCTCACTCAGGAGATTATATATGCCTATAAAAATTTGGATAGTGTTTTTTCAGGGATATCAGGGCTCAGCAGGGTCTCCTTTTTCCTTACCCAATGATAAACTTCTCCAGGAGTGCTCTGTCTATCTCTCAGTTGTGTTTTGGTCTGACTAAAATAAGCAAATGCAATATATACTCGGGAATGCTAGAGAAAAGGAATCAGTTAGCAAAGAAAAAGATAATGATAGTGCCGAGTTTCCTGGAATCCTACTGAGTGACTGATTTAAGCAAGAAAAACAAAATCTTTTTGCTGTTTCCTTTTCTCTGAATTTGTTGATGAGCAATCTTTATTTCACCCCAGGTTCAGCTTTGCTTCCACTACCCAGCTTTTTCCTGTTAATACCTCGCATATGGCATGAATGAGGTGTGAAAGGACAATGCTGGCTCACATCCATGGAAAGGATCTCACTTTATTCCTTTCGACCGCCGCTGTCCGAGTGAGGCTTACTTACCTCAGCCACTGAAATCAAACAAGGGACGGCATCCTTCCCGTCTTCCAACCAAGCCTGTTAAATGTACTTTTGTAAGCAGTTGTAAAAAAAAAATAAAGGGAAAGAAACAAAAGTAGCCTTCAATGGCCTCGGCTCTGCAGAGCTGCTGTGGTGAAAGGCTCCTTTCACAGAAGGAGAAAGAGTGTTCAGCAAAAGGAGAGGGTTTGCTGCTGCTGACAGAGGTTGTGCCCCGTGCAAGCTCACAGAGAGCAGGCCAGTCCCTCCCTCCCTCGCTTTTTTTTAAAAAAAAAAACATATGTGCTTTCTATGGACACTTTAATCAAACTCCAGATGGGTTGTTTCAATCTGGGGATTTGTGCTGCTCAGGAGATAACAGTCCATTGTGCTAGCCTAGGTAGCAAGTGTGTTTGTGATAGCTAGAGCTGATACCAGGAGATGTCCAGGTGGTCTTATTTAACAGGGGGTATTAGTGATACTGCCATTGTCCAGGAAATCAGATAAAACTGCAGTCCAGGTGTTACCCTACACTGTGTTTGTGTAATGACATTGCCAACTGCTGATTGCTACCTACATTAAAATAGAGACCAAACAACTGCAGAAGGGTGATATTTTCTCGTACAAGATTGCCGTCATCCCCAAACTTCCCGGGGTGCACCGTTTAGAGTGCAAAATTGAATCTGAATATAAAGTGGAACAGTAGTGAGCATGCACCCCTTGCACACAGCTTTCCTCTGATACCTGCCTGTTCCTGGCCTGGGCTTGGATTTCCTAAACTAAGGCATTTCCTCTAAACCGTCACGTGTTTTCCTCTCTGCCCTGCCACAGAGTGTATCAAATGAAAACGCTTGGGGGGGGCGAGACAATTTTTAGAAATAAGCTGCCCAGGACAATTCAGTATTCCGCCAAGGATAAATAGAAGAGAGAATGAATTGTAGAGATGGATAAACTTGAGAGAGAGAAGATAGTTTGGGAAGTGTTAACCTGGACTGTAATTTCAGGTGAGAAGAACACTTTACAGTCCTTGTTCTGGAACAACGCTGCCCAGCACAGTGATACACCAGGTCCAGGAAGATATTTGCCACAAATTATCGCTAGACAACCATGTAATAATCAAAATAGAAGAAGTAACTGTTCGGCTTGAGAAAGGGAGGAGGTCCTCTGCTGTTTTTACACACATGCATTCCCTTTTTGGAGCAAGGTGTTTAGTAGAAAACATTAATTCCAGGCTCAGAGGCGTGCGAGACTTTTGTCTAGACTTCAAATAGCGTGATCTGTCTCTCTAGGGCCATATTTCTCAATGTGATATTTTTCAGGATGGGATCTGCCACTTCTAGTTTGTCCTAGAGATTTCAACAGTGTGGAAGCTTATGGCTCCTTGTAACCATGGCAGATGAACCCCATAGCGCTGAGAGGCCGCTGTTGTTTCTTCGTAATTGTTTATATAGATAGGATCTAAACTTAGCTACAGAACATGGTGAAAAAAAGCCTGGTTAGAAAGAGTGGGGACTCAAGAGCTTAGCCTCCAGCTATCTTAGAAGAGGCTGGCTCATCACAGAGAGATCCCCAGCTGCACTTCCAGGCTGTAAATTAAACAAACAGTATTTCCTATATACCAGACCACAGGGATGGTAGAAAGAACAGTGTGGCCTTATTGCTGTTATTTCCTTTGGTTTCAATCTCTGTCCTCTGCCCCCCACCTCCTTCTCAGGCTGGTGGTGCCCACTTTACCCGATTTGTTATTTATTACAATGGTTTAAAGAGAGGCAGGGGGAAAAATGCTCAGTGCAAATTATATTTTGAGCTGTTGTGCTTTGCCTCTTTGGCGGATAATAAATCTCTCTGGCAATGCTCCTCTGTATAGGATTTGTCATTAAATGCAATTAAACAAACCCTGCAGGTGTCCATGATCAGGCCTGCAGCAGCCCATTCACAACTGCAATGTTATTATCATCCTGACAACAAAACACCAGATATTTCCTGAGCTCCTCTGATCGATGAGCTTGCCTGACTTGGAACTGGAGGGAGGAGAGAAGGGGGGAACAGAGCGGTTGCAAATGCTCTTTAGACTTATTGATGGAAAAGTCAAAAAGCTGCTCAGCAATCAGAGAGAGGTGGAAAGAGAAAAAGGCAGAGGAACAGGAGGGATGAAAGGAAAAAATGAGAGGAGTGTTTGGGAGCAAAAAGATAGAAATAAGGCAATGTATCACATGGTATCCATCTACCCAATGATTTTGTTCATGCACAAGACTAGAATTTAGGAGGCAAGCAAAGTATTTTAGGTATGATTCTTCTCATGTAACTTTAGCCTATTAACAGTTAGGCTTTTAGTGTTAAGTGAGTGACACGGGCTCCCTTTGCAGTCGGTGCAAAAATTAATCTCACCCTAAGACAGGACTTGACTGGCGGGTTGCCTTCTTGTCCAGAGATATCTGTCTGTCTCCGCTAACTGTAGCCGAATGGTTGGATCAGATACCCAACTAACTGCAAATCCCACCTGTAACAGCCAAAGGAATTGGCTTTTGCTGAATGCATGTTCCTTTCTATCTTCATTCATGAGGAGGCATTTCCTGGCACAGCTATCATGAGAGCATGCTACAGAGGCATTGCTAATAGTATTTGTAGAAAGCAGATGCAACAACATTTACACCAGAATTGTTGTGTGCTCTGACAATCAGGGAACAGGAAAAAAAGTCCTGTGGTTTATGTCAACCATCCCAGGCAGCCTGCAGAGTATGAAGGTCAGGGACTCACGGGGGACTAGCTGCCATCGGGTCCAGTGAGAGAGAAAATTTTGCAAACACCAGTTAAATTATCCTGCCTGAATCATTTGCTCAGCTCAGCCTCAGGGTGCTCTCAGGGTGAACCTCTTTCCTCTTCTATTCTCACCCCAGGAATGCTAGTTTAGTCCAGTTGATTGCTGGGGCACATATAGAATTGCAGTGACAAGGGATCGTTTATATTACTATAGCGCCTTTCCAAATGCGTAGTACCACAGAAAGCAAGCCATTTTTAGGTTGGATAAAGCGAGTTAAATGAGTAGACTTCAGTAGTGCGTGTGCGTATGTAGAGTGTAAGGGATGATTATTTACTTCTACAAAAAAAAAGCTATTGTCAGGGTCTTTGACTAATTATGCAAAGGCAATGTGCTAAGTTTTTATAGCCTTATCTGAAATGCCCAGCAGGGCAAACAGCATGAAACCCTGTTTACTGGCATCAGAGATGAAGTTGAGATTATGGCAGAAGGAGCCAGGATTTCTGCTATCAATCCGCGGGTCTCAGGATGACAATTTCCGAAGACCACGCATCTAGATCGCTATGCAGCGCTGGTCTCTGGCTCCCTGGTTGCTAGGGCAGTCCGGATTTCTATACCAAAGAATGTCCTCTCTTTCTTACTCTCCTCCTCAAACACTGGAGGATTTCCCTCTACCACTTTGTGTGTCCTCCTCTCCACACTGTATTACCACTTAATCTGCTGGTTTGTGCCATTAGGGAACCAATGTGCAATTATCTGGTGGCACAAGTCAGCACTGGTCTATTGAAGCTAGCAGAAGTGCCCTCTTCCTGTGATACCACAGAATTTGGCCCTCAAGTCTGTCTACGAAGTGTCAATTCACCGGACACACCAGCGGTTCCCCAGTCGTGGTCCCTGGGTCAGTGGTGGTCTGCAAGGGCATGGAAAAATCCACATCTACCGGTAGTATTTATGAGTAAGTCCATTTTGCATGGCTTCACCTATAGGCTCCGGGAACGTTTGAGGTGACACCGGCTCAGAACATCTGGGAGCCATGCATGTATGCAAAACCAGCAGCCTTACTGGTAACACGGCATTGCACCTCTCTAGTTTCTTCCATTTCCCTCAGTTTCTGCCTAGACTCTGCTCTCAGACACATCTGCCGAAATCTAGAAACGTCTCTGATTTACTCCTCCCAGATGCTGTAGGATTTGCACCAGGGTGACAAAGCCGACACGAAGGGATGTGCTCTCTTCTAGGGAAAAAAGACAAGAACTGGCACGTCCCGGCTGCCAGTCTGCGGAGCCCGGTGACTGCTAATGAGTGTCACTGGGACAGATCTTCGGCTGGCGTAAATGAGCACTAGCTGATTGTAAGTCCGCAAGGACTTTAGTGAAACTATGTTGATTTACACCAGAAAGGCGGCTGGTCCAGGGCTCAGGCTGGCTGGGGAAAACCCCCTGGAGTTTCCATCAGTGGGTGTGAGAGCGGGGTAGAAGCCGGCTGCGTGTGTGAAGGGGTGCAGAAAGCAAATAAAGGGAAGAATGGGAAATGCACATCTTATTGGATTGACTTCTCCAACAAACACTTTTTTTTTTTCCCTTCCTTCCACTTCCCTTCTTCCCCACCTCCAGCATCTCCTCTCTCACTCGCTCCCTCTCCGTGCTGCTCATCTCCCTTTGTGCACCTCTTACCCGCGCTCTCCTCTCTAAACAGGTGCAGTTCCCACTCAATAGACTTTAATTACCACTTCAAGGGCTCTCACCGGGGTCTGTTGGGAGGGTGGAGATGAATTTTCCTGAGGATTATGCGTATGTCTGAGCTCTTTTTAGTCAGATGGCAATATTGCTGTTAGTCTGCATCCTTCGAGAGATTGTTTCTTCATGTTCTCCCTGCTTGTGTTAACAAAAAGCAAAACTGCTGATGAAGGAAAAAAACCCCGGACATTAGCTAGATTAATTAGGAGGGCAGCAAATTGGTCTAGAGGAAAATACTATGGACAGTTTTAAAAAAAAACAGGAGTCTCAGCTGGGCTTCTAAAACATTATTTCTGCTTGCAAATAAGAGGCCCAGTTTTCAGAAGTGGAGAGCTCAGCATCTCCAAAGATTTCTGTGGGAGACTGGGGTCTAAAAATACAAGTTGTTTTTAACTGCTTTACCTTCTTTTTTGCTCCATGCTCTTCCCATCACAGCTCACTGGAGAAATGCACTGTTAATGCATTCTGCTGGTACCCCGGGGGATTCCTCCAGAGTGAACATGTCAGCTGATTTCTGTCTTCAGCATAGTTTGCCTATGATGGAGAGTTATTCCCAATGTTTAACTAGTAACATAACATTATTTTTATTATTAAGATCCTCTTCAAAAGACAATCCTGGAGAATGCAGAGCAGAAGCTTACGTCTGTCGGATCTGCTTGAAATTGTTTGCACAGCATGTGAGCATGTACTTGGGTATAAATGGAGATGCACACAGAAATCTATATACATGCTTATATGTGCCGATACATGCACCGCTGGAAAAGAGAGGAGCTGGAAATGTAACAGTATCTTCTGGAAAAGAGAAGATTTCCAAATATTTTTTAAAATAGTTTTGCTTTTGCTCAGCATTAACATTTTTAATTTTTTCATAAAATGAAAAGCAGGAAGGAGATTGTTTTATAGCAAATTAAGCAACATTTTCTTCTGCCAAAATTAAGTTTGTTTTCCTAAACAAGCAACTCAGCAAATTGGGGAAATAGTGTAACCAAATCTGCATTTTTGCCTACGTGTTTTCCATGAAACATTTTGCCTAGCTCCAAAACAGCTGGGCGTATGCGACGTCTGGGCTTCTGTTGGGCACTCGCTGCTGTACTGGACCTCGTGCATGCACCAGTGTCCATGCCAGAGGGCAATACAGCGCCGTGCCCTGCCTTTACTGTCCATGTGGGATACGGCCCGTGCTGAGCTCTTCTGCGTTCATGCCACTGAGCCAGCTTGTATTTCTGGGTTAGTATCCAGGCTCCTCTTATCCCTTGGGCATTAGTAACCACGCAATGAGACTCAGACACTGGGCTGAGGTTCTTACGTGTAGTCATGCCTCTGCACCCGAATGGCATTCATTTCCCATCCAGCACAGCCCGCCTCTGCACAATCCTGTCTGCTCTCAGCTCTGGGCTTTTGGTGGTACCTGCAGCACAAAGACAGAAGAGGTGAAGGAAGGATAGATGGACAACACTGATGGGAATATGCTGGTTAAAAAAGCAGAGTAATCATAATTGCACTTCTGTGCTAAGACATCACTTTAGTCTCTGTCTGGGAATGTTCTGTTCCTCCTTCCTTAGGCTCGGAGTGCAACTGTGACCTGATAAAGTAAGGAGGTGCACGACACCATGGGCTCGGTCTGGGACAATGCTGCCCGTTGGTACAGGGTCCGTGATGGGGAAAGGAAGAGGCATGGCGATGGGCCTACAAGAGACTTCTCCCTGTGCAAGCACAACATGTCTATGCCACTTTCTCTGGACTTTCTCCAGACTTTCTCCTTGCTCAGGGGGATCCGTTCCCCTCTTCTTCCTGTACTTCTCCACCAGGAATCCTGCAGTGCCTTCCTCTCCTATCCCTGCCCTCCCCAGCCTCTGGAGATCTGCCAGCCCTCCTGATGTTCCCACTCTCATTTTTCAGGTTGTGTCCTTCTACTTCTCCCTGTAGCTCTTTCTTTCAGCTTCTAGGATTTTAAAATCCTTCTGCCTTCATCATGTCTTCCTTCCCCCCTTCCTTTTCTTGTGCATTTTGCTTTCCAGCCCATCTACCACATGTTCTCCTGCCATTTATGTGGGACTAGGATGAACATTGATCACAGCCATCTCAAACCCATCTCTCTCTTTTCCCAAAGAGCCATGAAAATGTCACCCATGAGATAATCATCATGTTGCTCACGTCCCTTAATTGCTCTCAAAGTACACATTGAGGCTGCAGAGCCTCTTTGAAAGGCAGGTTCTGGCCTTTGGCACATTATTGACAGGCTGTTGATAGGCCCCTTTGTTGAGGAGCAATTTTGTCCCTTTTGCTGTACAATTTTTTGTTTTTTTTTTTTTTAAAGACAGCCCTTTCAGAGAGAGTAGATTTTAAAAATAGAGCTGAGCTTTGAATGAACAGGCACCAGACTTATTCCTGAGAAGCAGTGGCATACATGTGAGATGAGAGCTACCAGCATGTTTCATGCAAGACTCCATACAAGAAATCAAAGCTATGATGACTTCATCCCAGTTGCTTTTTATTCCTTCCCCTCTTAGACCTGGTAGTTAGATGTTTAGTTGCCATGTATTACTAAACCATTAGATGTCTTCTGTGTTCCAGTGCATGGTCCCTGGTAAACAAGTAAGAGAAAGTTGACACTTAAGCTGTGGGGCAACCCATTTGTATCTACTAGTGATAATTCCTTTGTTTATTTAATACCTGGTGATTAAAATGGACTAACATTTCCTCATCACAGCAGCCCTTCACCATCTCAAAAGCTTGAACAGGTCTGGGGCAATTGCTGGTGAGCCTGCAGAAAGGGAATATTGAGAGCAGAACAAAGCGCACTTGCTCCCCCATTACCGTCATGGGCAGAGATCCTCCATTAGCAGTGTGGAGCCTATGACACATAGCTGAGCAATTCTCACATCAGCTACTGATCCCTGTAGTACACACAGGCTTTAAAGCCACCTCTTTAATACAGATTTATTTTACCGTGCCCCCTATGTAAGCTGGGGTCCCACTGTGGTAGATGCTGTGTGTACATCTCAAGCTAACCCTACTAAAGCCTTCAGCATGGCTGCTCAACCAAGCTCCAGTCTCCATCTAAGTAGATTTTCAACACAATCGTTAGCAAAATCTCCAGCCTATATGCAACCAAAAACCACTCCTGACAGAAATGAAATTCTTTCCTCTCTGAAACAATGTCCCTTGGAATGATTTTGCTGTTAATGAACCCCGACTGAGCTGCTGTATTTTGGAGCCACTGGTGTGCATTTTAACAAGGAGTTCTCTATGTGTGGATGTGCATCAACATAGCCAGCCC